CGCGCGCGCGCGCGCGCGTGTGCGCGACAACTCTCCCAGCGCGAGATCGTTTTTCTCGTGGCAGGCTCCCCGCGCAATGGCTTCTCCTGTGCAGCAGCCCTCCTTCGAAACAACATGAACCTGGTGCACGTTCGCGTCCTTCTCTCTCTCTCTCTCTCTCTCTCTCTCTCTCTCTCTCTCTCTCTCTCTCTCTCTCTCTCTCTCTCTCTCTCTCTCTCTCTCGCCTGCCCGCGCGACACCGCTGCTTCGCGTAGCTTCCCGTGCGGCCACGCTCCCCCGCATAGAGGCCTATTTCCCTCCCGCGCGGCTCCGCTGCTTCGTGCAGCTTTCCCCTTTCTCACGCATGCGAGTGTCTCACTGGCGCGCAGCATCCGCAGCCGCTAATGCGGCTTCCCGCCATCTCTCTCTCTCTCTCTCTCTCTCTCTCTCTCTCTCTCTCTCTCTCTCTCTCTCTCTCTCTCTCTCTCTCTCTCTCTCTCTCTTGCACGCGCTGGTGCACGCTCGTGCGCAGATCCGCGCTCGTCTATCTCGCGCGCAGTTTTCACTCTTGTTCAGCGCAGCCCCGTTACTTCGCGCGGCTCCGTTTCCCCACGCGCCTTCGTTCTCCTCGCCCGGATGTTCGCACGGCTCTATTCCCGCTTGCGCGGCCCGTGCTGCTTCCCTCCCTCTCTCTCTCTCTTTCTCACTCGCTCGTGTGCCCGCGCGCAGTGGCTCTTGTGGTGCACGCGAATCAGGACCACCTTGAGGGCCAGGTTCATGCACACTCCCTCAGGCTCTCCGCACGTTCGAGCTCACACTCACTCTGATTCGAAAGTACCTGGCCCCCCTTCCGGCTAGGTGCACGTACCTTTTAGATGCACCGTGACTTCCCTCTCCGATCACTTCCTTGGACGTACCCCCAAAAAATACGCATCCCTCTCCTGACACTTCTTCTTTCTTTTCACTTTTCTACCTCTCTTCCCTCCTTCATTTCTTTTTGTTGTCCGCTTTTTATCCCTGACTTGTTCTCTCAGCCACTCCCGCATTGTCAAGCTCCAGCGGCTTTTGGTTTTGTCTCGCCACTTGTGGAAGTAGAGTTTACCCCTGCCTTTACGCTTACTAGTTGACTTTATAAGTCTAATAAACGGTAGACCGCCTCTCCTTTTTACTGTCAGGTTTTTAAACCTCTTTGGTCCACCGTCCTCATTCTCGAGCGCCTCCCTTCTCTTCCCATCTCGTCTCCATCCATTCAGGGGAGTATAGAAAGGCTTCTCAGAAAAAAGCCCCGCACGACAGGCTTAGACGGATCCATATCCTCACCAACTTCACCAAGGAGTATAGTCCTCCCTTTATACCGTCACAGAGGCCGAACACAAAAGGGCAACTAGTTACGAAAGCGTCGTAAACTGATTGGTTGAAGCTAGAGTAGCAACACCAGCCACAATATGCACGAGCACACACAGTGACAAGGGTCAGCAGCAGGAGGGAAAGAAGACCCAAGTCTATATTCCAATCTCGCGTCTCAATCACAATTCCCGAGTCTGCTACCCAATCTTCAGTCCTGACCAAGTCCTTGTCCTCGAATCTCCTCACATCCACAGCGGGTTTCTCCGCTTCCAATCTCTCCTCAAGTCCTGACATTTTCATAATTCTCATCGACATGTTTTTCGGACTGTCGACACCCGCAATAAGTTTCACTTCCATCATGGTCTTTTCTTCACCTTCTTGGTCAAACGCGAGTGGGTTATCATTCTGCCGACTCCCCAAACAGTCCTCAACGAATTCACCCCCAGTACTCATCACATCGCACTTACTTATTAACTTGCGTTGATTCATTCGGGAGCGCTCGATATCTTTCGTAGTTGCTAGATTACGGCCCATTGTTGTCTTGAGAGAATTCACAACATCGTTTTCATACGTATCGACGGTCTCAAACAGTTGGGTAAGCCCATAGTCGATAGCCGGTTTGGAGGCCTCAAAGAGTTGAGCCAAGTCATAGTCGTCAATGTCTCGTCATCATGTTCGATGGCCCCAAACAATTGTGTCAGCCCATAGCCGATGTCTGACTCGACGGTCTCAAAAAGTTGAGCCTTCCCGTAGCTGATATATGACTCAATAGACTTAAACGCTGGGGCAACCTCATAGCTTGTGTCCGAATCGCCTGCCCCCTTGCTAAGAGTATCGCCAATCTTTTTCAAACGCCCGCATTCCTCAATCTTTGATATCACTTCCAGCATCGTGGTTTGATCTACCCATGTTTCCTGAATAACCTTCGGTCCTTCGCCCCTCGGCGAGACTTTATTATCAAGGCTAGTATTATCGGCTTCATTTTCATCCGATTCATCACTCACTTTCTTAGCGCACACTAGTAGAGCTGCATCAAAATCCTCCTCGCAACTCTCGAACCGAATACTCGAAATCCCAACCGTCAGACTATCATTCGGGTCTGGGTCCTCCTCAAACCTGATACTCGGCACCCAAATTTCTCCCGGAATCACCTCTTGCGTTGTTCCTGCATTAATGTCAGTATTCATTTTCGTAGAAGGTCCGCATGATATATCTTTCTTGTCATTTGCACATTCGATCTTTCTCCACATATTCATCTCGATGGTTTTCTCATAGTCTTTTTCTCGTCTGCCCCGAGGCTCTTGTTGTAAGGGAATCTTCAACGGTTCCTCGTTCCTTCGAGGTGAGACATTCTTCATTTTCTTTATCCTCTCTCGTTCAGCCCTTCGGGCTTCTATTTCCTCGACCGTTTCCCATCCTTCCCTATGTGATCTCCTTTTCTTCTCTACTTCTCCAACGCTATCTCAAAATCCCCTATCATCGTTCTTCTTCCAGCTGCCACGGTTTCCTCCTTTCCATTCCCCACTATCTCTACTTACTTTACTTTTGTCAGGCGGCATGAACTCTCTTCCATCCTCATCACCGAATTGTTTTTCTACATGACTTCTGGATACTCCTTTCCCTAGTTTCTCCAACACCCTACGTAGATGAGCTTTGGCATCCAGTCCCCCAGTCTGCAAAGCCAATGCCCTTGTCTGAGCGAACGTAACCCATTTAGTAGGCATGTTCTCCATAACAAACTCTCTTCTCTCGATAGGCAGAGTCCCCATGAATATACCGCATCGTTCTATCTCACCGAGAAACCCATTTTCTATCAATGGTTCAGATGCCATCTCAAAGCGTTTCGCAAACGCCACTAACGTCTCCCCTTCCTCCTTCTTCATCTTCTTTAAGTCCTCGACCGAGTAGAAGATGTCGTCACATGCAAAGGCTCGAGACAATCCTTCTCTGAAGGTTGCCCACTTCCAATCCTCGGGTATAGCAGCACGCACGTCTTTGTCTAGTTTGAGATTGGTATGATTAATGAATCCCATTATCGCTTCCCGATCAGTCCATCCCGCTCTCAAGGCATAAACTTCCCAGTCGTTCAAAAATTCTGTTACCCGATGTCCCGTGAAACATAGAGGCTGACCGAAGTACGATGGTTGGTAAAACAAAGGACTGCACAACGGTCCGCACGCCATAGCATATGGACTTGGTCTGCATGGTGGCTCACATCGTCCCTTTCGCCAAGTCTCGCCCTCAGGGATTCCTACTCCGGTTGTCGCCTTTACATGAGGAGGTCTGCTTTCAAATTCACTATCCCACCTTTTTCCTCCATCAGAATTCTCCACCGCCATCTTTCTCTCAGGAATATTAAGCTCACTCCTCATCTCCGAAAGGTAAGCCTTCTCCATAACTTCCCGACGCTCCTTTTTCAATCCTCCATTAACCTTACTAATCAACAAAGAGATGAAAGGTTACTCTCTCAGACGTTGTGTAGCCCAGCCCGACTGATGAGCTCATAGATCCCCACGACAGGCCTCCACTGGACCCGCCTATATCCCTGACGACGTCAACAGGCCTAGAAGAGAACCGCCCTYTGGCGTATCTCCTCCTACCCTCATGTCGAAAGAGAGGCTGATCCCATGTCGCCATCATCGCTGGCTTTCCGATCCCGAGAGCAATCCCTTGATGCGAGCCGGCCAACTCGTGCGTCATAGGGTCGGACCGAAGTCACACGCTCACGGAACGGCGGTATCTCCCTCGTGCAATCCTATCCGGCACCATGTCTCTACTCGGCCCACCTCAGACATGGATTTACCTGGGATGCTTTCCCCCGACACTGTGTAGTGTCCTAATCAGACCTCCCGCTAGCAATCGGATCAACTAGCCTGTCTATTTCCCCCAACTCCTTGCGATTCGCGGCGCTTCTCCCCTCCCCTTCAGTCCCTCCAGTTCTTCCTCTGCTTACAATTTTCACTCAAAGAGATCTGAATCAGGTGGACTGACAAAGGGTAGGGAAATCAGAAGATAATCTTCCTCCAATCACAAGATCATGCCAGAGGAATTTCATGCAGAAAACAGAAATGCAGAAATTGCAATACTCAGAATATCTCACCGGGGTGTCGAGATGGGTCGGACTGCTAGTCGCCGCCGCACTCTCGCCTCTGCGCACCCTGATATTCCCAAGAGAAACAATACCGACGTCAGTAATGGAGTTGAGCGCCTCGATGATCAATGCCTTCCTCGCCTCTGCGGTTACAGGGGGACCGAAGTCCCGAGAGGCAGCCTTCCCCGGCAACGGCGCCACTGTCAACCGGTAGAAGGGGTCTTCCGGCACGCCGTCCGAACCCTATGCCTCGCGCCGCGTCTGTCACCCGCGGGAGGATCGGTCGGGGCTCCTATGACCTGCACAAAACATGTCAGTCCACATCAACAAATACAAGTATCGTAGCCGACCATGACCAATGCAAGAAGGAACTCATGAAACACTGTCTGGCAGGAATAATAGAAGTAGTTGCATTCAATCCAAAACAATGGGATGTGAAACACTCGTTCCGGCCTCAGCCGTACACCTCGCTCCTGTGTCTGGGAAGTCCGTCTGAGTCCCTACAGACCTAGTYAACAAAMGTCGCCTAATCCTCCTCCCGATTGGGKGTCGCCTGTACCGTGCACGTCGATCCCAAGGGACCGTGCTCAAACTCTTAGTGTCGGAAGTAGCCTCCCTCGCCCATCRGGGCCAAAGCTCCAGATCCACCGTGACTATAGTTCGGGTGTACCCCTTCGGAAAAGCCACTTCACGAAAGTCCCCCTTCGGAAAGCCTGCTTCGCAAAAGTACCCGCTCGAGAAGCCCCCTTCGGACGTACCCCTTCGAAAAGCCCACTTCGCGAAAGTACCCCTTCGGAAAGTCCGCTTCATGAAAGTACCCGCTCGAGAAGCCCCCTTCGGTCGTGCCTCTTCGGAAGGCCCGCTTCACAAAAAATACCCCTTCGGGATAGTAACCCTTCGGTAAGGTGCCCCCGGTAATGTGCCCCCTCGGTAGAGTGCCCGCTCGGTAAAAATGTCCGCTCGGTGAAGTACCCACTTGGTAAAGTACCCGCACGGTAAAAATGTCTGCTCGGTGAAGTACCCACTCGGTAAAATACCCGCACGGTAAAAATGTCCACTCGGTGAACGAGTCCGCCTGGTAAAAGAATCCGCCCGGTAAATGCCCGTTCGGTAAGTGTCCGCCCGGTAGGTGTCTACACGATAAAATGTCCCCTTCGGTGTGGTGCCCCTCCGGTAGCATACCCCTCAGGTAAAAAAGCCCCCTCTGTCGAGCCTGATTCGGAAGGCGCCTCTTCATGGGCCTGATTCGGTCTGGTGTCCCATACGGTGCCCCAAAGTCTTGTTCGGTCCCGTGTTCCAATCCTCGCCCAAAAGGCCTGGTCAATCCGCTGCTCCAATTGGCGTCCAAAAAGCCCAGTCCGGCCCGGTATCCCAATCTATGCCTCGAAGCTCTGCTTCACTTGGTGTGCCGCGACTGACCAAGAAAGCAGTCCAATCCGACGGTCAGAAGAGCGTGCCCAAAGGTGCCCTTGTGTGGTGCTCAGATGCTACAGATTAGTGTGTGCTGCCTGAGCCTGTCACCCGGTTCACGGTGCCCTCGCCAAGCGCCAACGTGAGCCCTGGCGTGAGCAGACTCGGGCGCCCGTCTGCCCACTGGATCTCCCCCGCTGTCCCTGATTTGTGGCGCGCAAGAGCGCGCACAGCTCGCGCTGCACCTTACCCGCTCCGACTAGCTGCGCCCAGTGTGCGCGCGGGGCGATCCCGAGTGTGCGCAAATGATCGCGTGGTGCCGCGCGCGAGTGCGCTCATATCCCGACGGTGCGCGACTATGCATAGGGACTGCTCGTGTGCGCTCGCCAGATCCCGACTGTGCCCGAGGGCCGTTCGGTGTAGCACGCGTGTGCGCTAGTGTCCTGACGGTGCGCGACTGTGCGCAGGGGCTGAGCGTGTACGCGCGTGTGAAAGTGTGAGTGTGTGTGCGCGTAGATACTCGCAGGTGTACCTGTGCGCACGCGCGGATGTGTGGAGCTGCGCACTCGATCCGACAGAGCGCCAGTGCGTGCACACAGTGCGCGAGTACGTGCGAGTGGGCGAACGACACTGTGCGCCCGATCCGTCAGCGCGCGAATACGTGCGCACAAGTGCGCGAGGCTGCGCAGCTCCCCCGTAGGTAGTTCCCCTGTGAGCGCGATGGAGCACGACTCTCTCCTGCAGGTGGTTCCCCGTGCGTGCAATAGTGTCCGTCTTCCTCCGGTGGTTCTCCCGTCGTGCGCAGCTGCGCGCGGGTGCGCGTTGTCTCCTCTCGTAGTCATGCGCAGCTGCGCACGAGTGCGCGCTGTCTCCCCGCAGTTGGTTCCCCCGTGCGCGCAAATGGTGTGCAGCTCTCTCGTGCACCTCTCTGCTCGTGCTCCTTTGTCCCCTGGTGGCTCGTGCGTACAGTCTACTCGTGTGCCAGTGTCCCGTGTGCCTGTACCATGCGCCTCCATTCTTGCATGCGAATAATGCCCCGAATCTGGGCCTGGTTCAGCTTAAATGTTCCGCCGGGCCCTCCTAGAAGTGTGAGCCTCGTCCCTCGTGTGTGCTGAGGCTGCCGACAACTTGCAGGGCCCCGGTACCGGCCCTGTGCCCGAGCCTGCTTGGGGCCCCGAAAAGGCTCCCAGCGGAGAGGGCCTTCCCATAGGGAACTGGGCCTTCGACAAGGTCCTGGTACCATGGCCAGTCCTGAGTCCGCCCCAGGCCTGCCCTAGCCTAGGTGGTCCCCACGCAGCAGTGGTACCGCTCTTAGGGGAAAATCCAGGTGGCCCTCATAAGTGAAAATTGGACCCATAACCAATCAAGCCTAGGTGGGCCCCACGTCCTAGCGGGACCGCCCTTTCGGACGAAAACCTAACTGGTTCAATGGGCCCCTTGCCCGTAGTGCCGGCCCGCGTCACGGTTGGTGAGTCGCAGCCGGAAAAAGTAAGCTCCTTGATCGTAGCGTTGGCCCGCCTCATGGTCGGTGTGCCCCGGTCACGCAAAATAACGTCGAGCAAGGATGTCGCCGCCCCGTTCTTCGGCGTGTCGTCCCACCGCATAGTCGGTAAATGTCGGCAACCCTGTTGGTCCCAATGTTGGCCCGCCTCATGGTCGATGAAGCCCAGCCAGGTAGAATACCGTCAAGTGAGGGTCTTGTTACGTGCCCTCGGAAAGGAAGTAAAGGGTGGCGTAGTATCGGAGCCGCCCGACAACGTTCAGCCTTCCCAAATCAAAGCAACCGGACCACCCAAATGTATGGAACATGTCTGGCTCTCCAGGCAATTCAAAAATAAACATAGCACTGAGCCTTCCCAAAACTCATGGAACTGGCCCGGCCTTTGGTT